GTCTCGAGCTCGGCATTAACTTTCTGGACACGGCGTGGATCTACCAGTCGTTTGGCGCTGGTGGCGGCGGCAACTTTACCAACGAAGAGCTGGTGGGCAAGGCAATCAAGCAGCACGGCCGCGACAAGTTTGTGATTGCGACCAAGTTTGGGGTAGTTCGCGCCCCGGATGGGTTGACTACTGTCAACGGGTCCGAAGCCGTGATTCGATCGCAGCTCGCCGACTCGCTAGCCCGCCTGGACGTCGACTACATCGACTTGTATTACATGCATCGCATGGATCCTGAGACGCCTATCGAAGACACCATTCGCGTGCTCAAGTCACTCGTGGAGGAGGGCAAGATCAAGTACATTGGGCTGTCCGAGTGCACCCCCAGCGAACTCCGCCGAGCGCACGCTATCCACCCCATCTCTGCCATCCAAATGGAGTGGTCCCTGCAGTCCCGCGACTTGGAAGCGCTCGTCGTCCCGGTCGCCCGTGAATTGGGCGTCGGCATCGTGGCCTACTCGCCTCTCTGCCGCGGATTCTTAACCGCAATCGACACTTTCGACAAGCTTGACGGAGACGACAGTCGCCGCAAGCTGCCTCGGTATAGTGGCGACAAGTTGGTCCAAAGCAAAGCCAAAGTCGCTAAGTTCTTTGACCTCGCAGCGGCCAAGCACTGCACGCCGGCCCAGCTGGCCCTGGCCTGGGTGCATGCCCAAGGCCCCGACGTCTTCCCCATCCCGGGCACCAAGTCCTCTACCCGCATTGTCGAAAACGCGCATGCAGTGACGTTCACCCTCACGCAAGACGAAGTGACTACCATTGCCGCCGCCGCCACATCAGTCGAAGGCGATCGGTATGCTAGCAACAAGCACACGTTTAACGCCCGCCTGGACAAGGCGTAGACGAGTACACACATAGCACGACCGACGTGGCACGGTGTAGTGGTGGTTGGAACCGCATGGGACATGCTATGGTAGTGGTATTGTTTGATTCTAACCATTGCTAGAATGTGCTACTAGTACTATTAATAGTAACCTTTTTAATACAGTAGTACGATGTGAGTTAAAACATGCTCTGTTTTTAGAAGTATGTTATTGTTTTTTTACCCAAAATTTGGACTTTTGTGCTAAATCGCCAAATGTATCGATGGATTCTTTGTTCTAAGTGTTGTGTTGTGGTGATTGTAATCACACTAATTAACATTAAATGATGATTATGGTTTACTGCAATCCGATTGGCTCAATGCTTCTGCCGAGTCTTGTTGAACCGTAACGTCACTGTGGATTTGGTTGTATCGATTCATTCTCCATGTCGCTCCAGTTTTACAGTTAGTGATTTCACGGTATCTGATTGGACAAATTGGGCAATTTTGAATTTGCACGTAAGACAGTTCACTTGCGAATCAAATGTTGGTCCAAACAACTGATATGAATCTGTGTGCGTGCGATAAAAGCTCGACCGCCCCACTTCAACCTGCTTTTCTACTGCAAAGATCCGGAGCTATAACGTTTTGGGAAACCATGTACACATTGCAGCGCCGTCATCCAATACAGTACACTCACTGCAATTCAATCGCTTGATCGTCACCGTCGTAAACTTTGAATGAACCGCCGCGTGCGTACAATTAATTGTCCAATCGGGTCACCCGGCAAAGATCGTCATGGTGGCATTGGATTGGTTACTTTTCGGCCAATGGCATCGTAGTTGAAGCGGCCGCCTTTGCACTTGCCAATCAAACCTCACCCTTTTTGCCAGCACAAAAACAACCGACATGTCCGTCACGGCCGTCTTCACGACGCCAGACCTCCTCTACCAAGTGCTGGCCTTCTCACCAGGCGTGTCGTATGTACTTCGTCTCTTCCTCGAGTCATGCCAGCATATGCCACGAGTTGGCCTTCGTGCCACCGCGCTCGACATAGCCTGTCGACAAGGGGACTTGCATTTAGTGCAGCAACTGCAAGATCGGCCGTGCACCACCAAAGCTATGGACTGGGCCGCTGCGAACGGTCACTTGGATGTTGTCGCATTTCTCCACCAACACCGATCCGAAGGGTGTACCGTCGACGCCATCGACCGTGCCGCTCAACGCGGACATGCCGACGTTGTAGAATTTCTGCTCACCCATCGACCAGTTTTCTCACCCAATGCACTGGTTTGGGCTGCTGCACATGGCCACGTGAGTGTGCTGAGGGCTCTCCTCAATGCTAACCCAACTTGCGAATGGAATTACGAGCATGCCATGGCCCGAGCCATCGAAAACGGACATGACAACGCCGTCACGTTTATTCGCTCGACCTTGTCGAATCGCCGTCCCGTCGTTGTTGCCATCGCCGATGAAAGCGTTAAGGAGGGGTTCATCAGTTCGCTGCCGCGCCGCTTGATGTAAAACCCTAACGCGGTTTACAATGTGTGTGTAGGATGTACTTGTGACATGTAGTTTCGCCCTTGTTGTGTGTCGTGGGCAGTTCAAACTAACACCAGTTGCTCAGAGTAAGACGACGAAGATTTCTCCTTTCGACTCCGAGGGCGTCTGCCTCGCCACCAAGGAGTCCAATGTCGAGCCAAATCCAAGCATGAATGTTATATGTGGCACATACCGGTACGGGGCGAGTAGGAGGGGCAAGTTGTTGCGTGGTTGCCTTTTGCTACGGCTTACAGAGTTGACTACTTTTCACGTTAGCATGTACTTGTCGAGAGAAAACCCAAGCAGGTGTCCATACCGGTACTATGAATAGTAGGAAGGATTTGGACAGGTACAGACTGTAGTATAACGTAGGAACCATAAACTAACGTTACAGACAGAGGGTGTACGTACTGTACCTTGTATAATTTGATGATAACGTTAATCTAATTCTCCCGCGCTTTAGAGAATCATCGTACAACGCAATGAATGAGACTAGGGGTTACTGATTTACGATTCGGCAGCGTTGTGCAGCCCAGATCCACGACTGGTCTGCCCAGACAACGTTTCAAATGTGCACGTCGTCACATTGTGCAACGGTTGTGACTTGTCAAAGTTCGACACCTGACTACCAGTAGTACTGTAGATCTCTGTACGTGATCGTGACTTCGCTGTTTCGAATGGAAACATCACTTTGCACTTGTATCGTCACACCAACCACCGTCATCCTTGACATAGTCAAGTCCGTTCATATTAATATGCACGCAGACCTTTCGATGGGTACAACAGTCAACCGAACCATGTTTACAGTGTGATTTCGTGACTGTTGCTGACATGTGAATTGAAGGGACTGACATATATTTATGAAACGACATCCCGGTGAGCTACAGTACATGTCTTGTTGGCATTGCAAGATCCGGCGGTGGGTTGATACAATCATGTTAGACGTGTTAATTCACTGCATGTTGCGCGTAATTCATTTCAGACAACGACTTCAATGGATTCGGTATATATCCTCAAGCCATAGCCTTTCCCCCATTGTGTATACATACAAGATTATTCCGGGATTGACACTGAATGCATTAATTGCTAACGTTACTGTAAATACTGATGGCGCACAAAATCCCACGTGTTGGATGCGATTTGATGCACTCTTTTTTATCTAACGTTATGGTACCACAGTGGTATACTCGTTTCGCTCGAAAGAAATCGGGTTGCCACAGTCCGCCCCTGAATTCAACCATTTCGTGGTGACAAACAGCAATATATGTGGACTTGGCAGGGACTGCTTTCTTCGAGTGACGGATAAAAATCCTACTTGAGGGGGGGAGCGTCGAGTGATCCGTCTTGTTTTTCGTACAGTCTAAACGGCAAACGCTTCGCAACGATGTACTACTTACATGTTCTACCCAGAGTCACAGGGCAGTTGTGGTAATGAGACAATCAAAATACAAGTAAGCGCATGATGTGTCAACGACCTTAGACGTCGGACACTGGGTAATGTACGTGCACCCTGGCCTGGCGCCACAAATATCGCGCAAACTTGTTGTCGTGCGACGATGTCGTGAAATTTGCGGCAGCCCATCGTCTCATGATTTGTTCGTCATGACGAGCTGACCCTCTATCGTTTGTCGTCTACCGGCACTGTACTAGTACGGTGGTACTGTTCTTAACTGTATAAAGCTGCTGCGGTACTGAAGTCGGGGGTGTACATCCCCCCCCATGGGGAAGACATGCGTCTTCATGCAAGAAGTAAGCTGTGACGGGATGATCGTCGTTGAAGACTTGCGACAGATGCCCACCCATGTCGATCTATCGTCGCACAGTGTAACAACATGTTCCTTGATGCATTAAGTTACCACACGATGCAGCAACAGTGCACCAATTTCAGTAGTGATTTCATAACATTCCCGACCAAATTTTAAAGGCAACCTGCCCCCCGATTTGGCTCCGACCAACACGCCCTGTTCGTTGAGTATAATCTTGTGTAGATTTAGACTGCATGTACTATGGGTCGACAATTTTCACGCGGCTAGTATTCATTGCAGTACTGCTCCTGCGTTGCAAGTATAACACACTTTCTAAGGTGCCCTGCACTTAATAGTGTGTGTGGCTGGCAGTAATTGGCTCGTGTAAGCTTATAATGTTGACTGCCAGTATACGTACAGTATATATATAACGTTATCGCGCCTTCTCGTATGGTGCACATCATCTATAAACTACTAGTACCAACTTTTCACAAAAATTTCTGTCGTCTATTTCATACTAGTACTAGTATTCATTAACGTAAAAAAACAATTTATAAAATATTAAGATAACTTTTTTGGAAGTATCCTCATGCGAGATCGCGATAGCATCGACGTGTTTTTATCCGTGGAGGTACATCCGTCGTCGCCTCAATCCTCCAACGTTCGGGCTACATCATGCATGGGAATCTTCTGTAGTAGAAAGGACATAACTTTTGAGTCCGTTACGATATTTGAGTTTTGAATAGTGATTCCAATAGACAAGACGCTCCGCTTTCAGTTCATAATCGAATTATCAGTTTAGACGACGAACTTCACAGATAAATTTGTTACTTTCTGCTCGTAAGCATTTGTACTCACATTTTGATAATCAATTTAGGATCACTTTTTTATATTAAAGTATGCATGTGTTGGAGCATTGAAGTTATGTGTTTAGGGTAAGCGATTACAACAAGTTTCATAAAATTTATACAAGGGCATTGTTTTATAGAGTTATATTTATGTTTCCACTGAGTTTAACACTCGACAAAACCTCAGATCCAACCCATGTGGTCCGTGTCGACTAGGGTACTTCAAACCCAATCTTGAATGACTGTTATCGATGGCTTCTACGCTGTTTTTGCATGTCATTCACGTGACCGAATGGTCAGCATTATATGACAGAGGTTTTGACTCGAACAAATAACAAATAACGAGGTGTGATTGGGCAATACAAAGTTATCCTAAATTGGTTAAATTGTTAAATTGTCTTAACAGTAAACTGGTTTTTTACGTTAGTCAAAATTTCAGCAAATTGAGATGTAGAATCGACAGATCTCAATGTGGTGAAGAAATTCTACGTCTCAGATTCAACTGGACGTTGTCACCTCACGATTGGCCTCCTACGCCTCTGAATTGGTCCAGAAATAGATATTTAACCTAGCGGTATTTTACGTTGGAAGTCATCTAAAGACTACAGATCGGCCATCCTCAGGAGGAGACGTTTTACTATTAAACGCCTCGGTTCTTTCAGTTAAACCCACGAAATGTTGACGTTAAATCATTATTAGTTACGTGTTTTACCTGGTAATTAGGTTAAGCATTGTGAATAATCCGGATACAACGAAAACGTTCGTACGGATAAGTGCATAATACAAAGACCAAGATATACTTGTACCTGGTTCCATATATCTCCGTACAAAAAGGCTGGTTGGTTTAAATTCTATTACTCGATCAATTTTTCACCAATCGAAAATCTGAACTGTAGCTTCTGTTGGGTCCAGTTCTATCGTTATTACGGTATATTTTCCTAAATACAATGTAATATCAATACAAAGTTGGAATACTAGTAGCTGTCGAAAGTCAAGGCATTTATTTGTATTCTTTAGGTGACTTGCACCATACTAGTAGGAAGTTTTTAGATGACGTGTTTGTAGATTGCTGTGAGGTCAAACTTGCAAGATTCTAACGTCAGCAAATCCATGATAACGTTATACTACGTAGTACTTCGTATATAGAATTGCATACTTCAGGGTAAGTAGTAGATATATACAGTATTGCGTCGCCTTTCTAAGACAAAAATGTTGAGGTTGCGCGTGTGGGTCTTTGGAGCGGTACATACTGTACTGTAGTTGAGTTACTCTGACGACATGGACTACTCATAACGTTAGTGCCTGGTACTACACTGAACTACCGCTAGTATATGTGAACCATGTTCATGTAAATAACGTTGCATCACATTGAAACGACGTGATGGATGTTGACGGCGAATACTCTGACATGCCCATCGTCGTTTCACCATCTTCTCATATTAGTTATAAAGTAGTTAGTCACCAAAAACACAGAGACGTTGTCCATGTGCTTTTTTGGGACGGTTACCGCGGCTCAGCCTTGTTCCCGATCTGCTGCTGCGACGACGACACTCGCCACTCCCGGACGTGGGGGGTACACATGTTCATGCTTTTCCGCAGTCGTTTGCAACCGTGGGCCACACACAGCTTGTCTTTTCGGTGGAGCTCACACAGTCCCCCTCCCCTGTCGGTCCGGACGCAGTCGTCCACGGTGCACGTTCGACACCCACCATGCTTGGCACACTTGTTGCCTCGCTGGGCTCCTTTGGTGCAGCCTGCCTCGACGCATCGCTTGCCGCCGCCATGGGACCGGCAGAACCCGCCGCCTTGGCTGCTGCGATCGCAGTGGTCGTATTTGCACCTAGCACCGCCTCCGTGCGCCTTGCACAGCCCCTGGGATTGCGCTGCGTTCGAGCAGTTGTAGACTTTGCAGCACTTGCCGCCGCCGTGGCCAATGCAGTAGTTGCCGTTCTGGGCTTCTTTTTGGCACTCAGTCATCATGCATTGCTTGCCGCCGCCGTGGGACTTGCAAAACCCTTTGGACCGGACGTTGCGACCGCAGCCGGCGAACGCACATGGTTTTCGCCTAGAGCTGTTCGTCGTGTAGTCCTCGTCTTCGTCCGTGTCGACCGTGCTGTGGCTAGAGCCGCTCATGGATCGTTGGACCGATAGGGGAAAGCAATAGGACGATGGAAATGGGGTTGGGGCTGCAAAGTACGTATTGTGATGGTGGAGAGGTGGGTGGGGCAATGTTGCTGGGGATGCTGTGGGGGCGTGAGGGAGCGCATGCATGTCCTGGTCCTTAAGGAACCGCATTAGATCTGGGTCTTCCAATATCGATTCCAACGCACGGATGTCAGTAGGCAGGGAAAACGGAATCGGGTCGTTCCAGTGGGAGGTCGTGTGATGTACGAGGGCATGGCTTGGGGGCATCCTCCAAGTGTTATTTGACACGTACAGTACAAGTACAATTGAAAAATGCCACTAACATGACGACACCAACTCGCACCCACACGGATATTATATTCTGCGATATTTGCGGATTTGGGGCAAGTACAAAAGTGCCAGCACCGTGACGATTACAATCCAGTTGGTGTCACCAGATGTCCCTGCTGCGCGTAGAGAGCGACCTTCTCATAGGCACGCATTTAATTCCAGCTGGTGTGTGGTCGTGGAATAAGGATTCCACGACCAAAACGTGGAATGTAGTGTACCTACTACTACCGTAGTACTACTTGGTAAGAAGAAACCATATGAAGATTGCTCCAGTCAACGAAATCTCGTCAACATCGTGTCGGCGAACAAACTAACGAATTGGAACGCCATAGAACGCTGCACCCCCACATTCAGAGTTGGGCTTGTGGGAATGCTTATTCCATCGTATAGCTGGAAGGGGGACAGTGGATGCTAATCGACACAGGGGTGGAAAGTCCAAAGGTCGTGTGCCTCTATTATACGTAGTATTCCATGCAGCAGACTGTACCAATGTACAGTACAGTACCACCAATGCTACATACACTTCTGTATAACAGCGTCGTGTCGTGCGAGAGATGTGTGGTGTAAATCCATCCCCCCATGAAGTGTGACTTGATGTGTCCCCCCTTGGATCGGGATGGGAATTGTTTAATCACGATGTAAACGTGCATTAGAGATCATTGTAAATGAAATGGATTTTGAAGTCAGCATCACGTTAACTGTTAACGCTAGGCAAGCTACCTCGATTGACTATCATACAGTACCCAGGGGAAACCTAGCTCGTACGCTTCGGGTTTTGGGGGATTCTGGACATCATGAATTAATTGGACGCTTCGGTGTTATGAATGACGTTAGTCAGAGCATTCTGTGTTCAACTCCAAATTTTACACATTTACGTTATCGCGCGTTACTATTAATAGCACAAATGCCCGCACCCATATTGTCGGAGCAATTCCCCAATAAAGATGTCCTACTGTTGTAATGTCTCGAAATACAGTTTCAATGAGGGAATCATGTCATTCGAATGCATTTTACTATCCCGTACTACCGGTATATGCCCTACTCCGTCCTACCCCCGATGAGTAGATAGATACGAGTATAATGCTAAATCCCCGGGGTCAGAGTTTACTAAATTCCATATAAATGACAGTTTCTGAGAAAAGACTCAGTGGAGCTGCGTTAACGTTACTGTTAATCGGGGAATTACAGAAATACTGTACTAACGATACTCACTTCAGTGCTTGGATGGTACGGTGGCCAATGGCTCAAAGAACGATCAACAGTAGGTCTTGTTTGACGAACTGATTGACATCGCTCGTCCACCTCAACGTGCCCTTGCTCAAGTCACCGTTGGGGCTTCAGATTGCACTCGCCGCCATCCAAGCTCGACTTCTCTAACTCATTGCTTGTCGTGAAACGTCTGCACCACTGCACCATTTCGAACAATTCCCGATAATAACAGTACGTACTGTTTCAACGAGGAAAGTACTGTATGACATTCAGATACATTTTCTAGCCCGCAGCACTGTGACTTGGAACTCCGTCCAACCCCCGGTGTACAATGTTAAATCCCCAGGGGTACTGTACTATCTCCAAGTAGGAGTAAAGTGTCAGAGGATATAAAGCCCATACAATCGAGCAAAAGAAACAGTGTTTCCAGATGCTTTCTTAGAACAGAAACTGTACTACTGTACTAGTCGAGGATTTGGACAGTACGTTACAACGATTCCTCATGCTTTTTCTGCATTATACATGGGTATTATGACCAGTGTCGAACCATGACAAAATCGATTCAAATTGCAGTTCATCGAAGCAGCTTCGGCATGAAACTGCTTGTAAAAAAGTACTACGAAGTAGTAGTTTACTCGATCAAGGCTATTCTAGGTCATTATCTTGCTCAGTACCAGTATGTACAGTACTGGTATTATGAATTCCGCTGAAATTTTCACGTTTGGGTCGGTTTGGCCCATTATTAGAACCGCCAACAAATCGACACCACGTTTTGATTCGTCATAAATATCGAATATTAGCTAATCATACAGTATATCTCAATGACAATTCAGGAATGTGAAAGGTCTCACAGCAACGATCGGGAGTGGCGGCAACACGGCAGCATGTGTACAATGCCATCCGTTTTCACTCCGCCGTGACTAATACAGCCTCGGTTTCTCATGCAAACATCTTGCTAACGTCTGCCGTAGAACAAGGTTCACACGTAAAATAGGCAAGTAGGTGAAGTCTATCAACAGAGATGAGACACGAGGAGCACAACTGCTTCATCTTTGTACTCGGGGTAATGGGGAGACGCGCATGCGATTGCTCTCCATGGGAGTGTGATGTGGCGTAGCAGCCTTGAACTTATCGGTGGTGGTGACGTCCACGGCGGATTGCATATGAAAGCATGGAACCACTATATATATATAAAGGATTCAATTATAGAGGTTTCGGTTGATTGAAGGATCCGCCCCATTGATTATTGATCAATCGCGCATGGAAATTTCGAGTAACGTGGTGGACCATTGATGTGCCGATTTTTCTCCATTTCTATTTTCGAATATTTCAGTTGTTTTTTGGAATCCTCCCTTGATACATACATTTTTGGATGGATAATGTTGAGCTCTTTCTAATGAGTTCAAAGTATATCGATTTAAACAGTTTAGGATTGACAATTAATTTTTGAAGTTGAGTACTTTACACAGGGCGACCATTGATGTGCCGATCTTTATACTTGAGTTATGTATTGAAAACGAAAGTTTCAACCTATTTCAACAACATACGATTACCATTTTATAAAGGTTTATACCATTCGAACAAGGTATCATGTATAGAAGTACATAGAAGTACTTTTAAACACAAATGTAGGGTTCGTAGCATGAATTTATACAGGTATCATTTGTCTAGAGGTTGCATTGTGTCCAATAAAAATCGATTTCGGGTTTGATTGGATGAATAAGTCGGCACATCAATGGACAATCGGCACATCAATGGTCGGCCACGTTACAGTAGAACCCACAATATGGAGTAGTTTATACCAAAGGCTGTTTTTGGATACTGTACAGTACAATTCCCCATTATCATGTAACAGTAAAACAGCTCCACTGTTTCTTTTCTCAGAACTTATCATTTATTCAAGTATATGGGATTTTATACTCTGTATCTGACCACCTCACCTCATGTACTAATAGGGGTTTCAATGGTTAGCTAACCACTGAGATGCACTTAACCCCGGGGATTTAGCATTATATCTACTCACCGGGGGAATGACGGAGTCCCAGGTTACAGGGTTATGGGCCAGTAAAGTGTATCCGGATGGCATAATTCCCTCATTGACCGCAGTATTTCGAGTCGGTATTGTTAATTTCCCCAATTCTGCCTCAATTTATGAACCTTCACTGCAACATCGTCGCGTCATTTGATTGGCTACCAAGTAATCCGCAGAAAAGACATGGAAAACAGAATGAATATGTTAACCAATCAGCGATAAGAAATTTCATAATATCCAATCAAATGTCGCGGCGGGTTCAATGTGAGGTTAGTAGTGCGACATTCGATTGGACAGGGTCTGGAAATTTGTATCGAATCGCAATATAACAGTGGGATTATTCTAATCGGGGAATTGCTCATACTGTTCACTGTGGGTTCAATATAAGCTTACCACGAAATGATATTCTGCTTTCCTCGTCTGTGGGAAGCCTCATGTCAACTCTACTATACTGTACTACGGGTACTACGGGTAGTAAGCTTACTACATAGTACTGTATAGTGTCAACCAACCCAAGCAAGAGCAGCAACATACAGCTACAAATGTACCAGCGCGACCTTTATTGCCAAACGCAATGACCAGCAAGAGGTAATGGGATTTGCAATTTGAGCCTTGGACTGTAGTACTTGCTACCGGTATCTGTATTCTCTCTGTCGTTTCTTGTTGGAATATGCTTCCACTCATTTTGGACTGAGAATACTATGAACGATAAGCGCTAACGTTATGATTACATGTGTCGTGCCGTGGAGACTTGTTTGTTCGTATGTACTAGTACTCGAAAGATGTAAAACGTCTAACGAGCTACTACAGCAGTACTGTATGGGCGAAAATCACAGGGCACCCCTTGTAGTTTCTTGCGTTCTACGGCGAAGACATGTTCCCATGTGGTAGCCCTGGCCCTACAAAAGGCAATAGTGTACTTTTGGATGAGTCGTCGTGTTCCTGTGGTGAATGCAAGGCCACATATTCATCGATGGACCGTGCGTCTCAAGTTTTGCAGTATGACTTAAAGGTGACCCCCGAATGGTAACCGTGATAAAACCACTGGGAGGGCGGGGGAGTGTTTTTTGTTGTCATCGATGTGCATTATTTAAAGGAGGACAAAGAGTGGTGCGTTTGTGTGACAGATGTGGGATATGTATCACCTATTCCCTCAGGACAGGACCTACCTAGTTATTTTACATGTTAAATAATTCGTGGGTTCGAATTTCTGAAATAACTATAAGAAAAGCTTCTATATAAAAAATAGAACCAATAAAAAAAGGGTAACGTTACAATCGTATGGTTGTAGCAAACTCCCAACTATCATACGACTTTCAGTCGAGTTTGAAAGAATTTGAATATCCAATAAGAATGCCGGCACGCAGTCCGTATGACCTTGCCAAATAATGTCAACAGACTACTGCCAGATTCGGAGTCTACTCGGGCACACTGCCTTCAATTTCACGAAACCAGTGCGACAGATACACCGTTATATTCAGGTGAAATCAATTACTGGAGTACAGTACTACCGCAGTAACTGGTACTAGGTAGTGCCGACAAATCAGCTGCTCCACACAAGTCCGCCGCGGCACTGGCCCCCCGTAGCTTGTAGATATGTACAGCCAGTCCTTGTGAATATTCGTGTTCAGTCTTACTGTACTAGCGGGTTAGCGAGTTGATTCAGTGCGATTAGGAGTAGGGATTTCGAACGATTGTCGTCAAGTTGAAATTCGCCCTTGTAGCAATCTCAAGCGGCGACACATTCCCTAGTTAAAAGGACGGCGGATTCCAAGCTGTATATATTGCAAGCTTATCGAGCGTACTTTGT